CAGAATAATCCTGGAAGAAAAACTGTAGGAGGTTGCGTGAGTCTGGAAAAGCCGGAGCTACAATGGAGGAGTTTAGATCAAAGCACATGAAGGGGTTAGAATGGACAAGTTAAAGTCCAGCTTTAAATCCAATTGAAAAAAAGACTGGAAAATTTATGTTCACACACACTCTTCATCCAATTTGACCAAACTTAAACACTTCCTTTCACTTCACACCCTTATGTATTACTTTGCGTTGATCCAGAACACAATTAAGTTGGAAGTTTTCCAAAAACGGGTGCTGTGTGTTACTTTTGTAAGAGGCGTCACACCTTACCCTTAAGCATTCAGTGGTTTTCATGCATCACTTTTTAAAACTACATTAGAAGTAAGATTCATGCCTAAACTCAACATATGCTTCCTATTTACGTAAAACATACGAGCTATAAAGTTTAACTGAAGTAAATTACTGTTCGGTGCGCATTATCTGAATCTATAGCTCATTTACTTAAACCCATGTCACAAACTGAGATAAGAAACAGGCGTGCAGTCTGGGTCACCCGTGGGAGATGGGGACATGGGGCCGAGCGAAGTTTTCCATCCATCCCAGCGCCGCTGTGACAAGCAATAACTCTGAACTTAAGTGTTTGGAGAGGCGTGCCGTGCTAGTCCCAGCAGAGTAGAGCAACAGGCCGGGGTGAGAGGGGTTAGCTCCTCTCCGCAGCGCTGCTGTCATCCCAGCTGTGTCCAGTGATGTGACAGAGGTCTCAGCAGCAAACTGTAGAGGAGGGCTGCAGCTAATAATTACTACAGTAACAGATTCATTGCTTAATCAAGATTTTTAAAAAATGCCATATTCTACATATTTTTATGACGGCGTGTTATTAGCATTGTAGACAGAAGGAAAAGAAAAGAGGAGGAGTAAAATCACACCATGAAACGACCTTGAAATATTAAGAATGAGCTCCGAAAATGTCTTGGGGAAAAAAAGAATGAAAATTGCAACTTTTGAAACAGTAGTTTCCATGTTTTGGAGGTTAATCTCTAAATTTCAGCTTTTTTCTAGCAAGGTTTAAACTTGTCAAGATTGAAAATTTTCTTGTTTTGTCTACAAAATCTTCTGAAATTAATCTTTGAAAATTCTAAATAAAAAAAGTTAAAAATTACATTTTGAAAATTACATTTTTAATTTCAAAATTTATGTTCTTCTTTTTTCCATCTAAAATGGCCCTAATACGCTGTCACAGATTTTTCATTTGACCAGCGTTTTTTATACAAGGTTAGAAATACATTAAGAATGAAGAGAAAACCCCAGTTCCTTTTTCCACAAATGAAAACATTTTATTGCCTAAAATGCAACAGCAAAACATTCATTTAGAAAATCTTAACCTAAACCTGTTTCACTTGAGGAGTTTTGGTTAAAACACTTTTACACACCAAAGTGTCCAAATTGGATTTAGCAAAAATTCTTTCTTGCATTTGCAGCTGATGGCCAGTAGTTGACAGTGTATTTTATGAAGCATTAGTGTCCACTTCAGTTGTCTGTGTGCATTTATAACATAAAAATCCACAAGAACAAGAGAATGGCTTTTTGATAGCTGTCCACTGTGCATGAAAGGGTTAATAGATTACTGAAAAATCATTTTGATTGTCGATTAATCACAATTAATTCAAGCAGTCGTTTCAGTTCTAATGTAAGACACTCACTGCCACAATACTGGCCTTAAAGAGCTTGGGATTCCAAAAGCATGAAGCTACCGCATGTCTGAGCTACGTTCTCGGTGAGTGGGAGGTACAGCAGTAGCAAACAAGTTTGTTTTGGCGGGGAAGAGCGCCTGACTGGGTGGCTGATGGGAAGGCAGAGCAGCGCGCTTGTGATGTTCTGGGAAGAGGTGAAAAAGAGAGTCTGTCGGGTTTTAGGTCCGGCTGTCTAGAGCTGAAGACGTCTTGCACACACCGCTTCTTTAACAGTGGCCTGGAGCTCGACCAGGCCTGCTCAATCTGAGCCTTTCAGACTAAAACCCAATTACACGGCCGACACCCGGGATGACCAGACGGGGGGGCGGGTTGCAGGCAGGGTGGCACGCCATACGGGAATATATGTAACCGTCCCAGACAAACGTGTGCTTTATATTAAAGAGGTAATAAACCCAGTGGCAGGATAAAGATTTAATATAAAACCAACCGCACTGATGTTGCAATCCTCCTAAGGTAATTCTCCTAAATAAACCTTCAAAACCAAAATCTGACCACTTTCCTTGTATGAACCGTCCATGTACAACTCACAGGTATATCACCTTTCAGATTAATTGCACAGTTTCACATCTGCAAAAGCGGTGTTCCTTACTAAAAAATGTTTGCACTTCTTTTCAGGCGTATTCATACACTTCTCCAGTCCCAAAAGCTGAGCTACAACAGGCCGTGCTGCCCAAAACAGCTGATGCACGGAGGAGGCAAGATGGTACGTCTACCATGATTTCAGGGAAAACTGCAGCAGCTGATTGAAGCTTCACAAAATGTTCTACTAAAATGTAATGTAAAAACCAAGACCAAGATTTTTCAAACTTAATGTGATGTATAGTCTGTTCAAAACTTCTCGTTTGCATTTACAGGAATGAGAGGAAAGACGACGAGGGCCTTCTTCACAGCTTTTGTAACCGCATGTTGTCGGACAGCTTGACAGGAAGTCTAAGAAGTCAATTCTGTGACCGCAACTAGGGAACTTAACCACCACTTTCTTTCCTATGTTAAAATTTTAACATAAATAGTCTGCATCCCTAGAATCAGAACCAAACATGGAGAATCAGCATTCCATTTTTACGCTCCATTATTCGGCAGTTTTCCAAAAACGTGCAAAACTGCCGAAACACAGAGTTCCTTTAAATCAAGGATAAAACCTACCTGCTTAGAGTTGCCTTTGATGCATAATACTTGAAGATTGACCAATATATTTGATGTAGATTTCTTTAAGGATTTTGATGATGACTTTGACAAAATATAATGTTTATTGCCATTTCACAACTGGTTACTGAATTATGTTTACATGGTGTAAAGCTCTTCGAAATGAAACGCACTGCACAAACAAACTTGACATATACATACAAACTAGACGGACGTTTAAATACCTCCACGTTTCAGGACCTTGTAATAGTCCTCCACTTTTGTTGTCAATTAACTTTAGAGCACAGATTACAGATTTCTGAACACCTTCGCACCTCTCTGGAGCTGTGGCCTACTTCAAGGCCCCACGCTAGTGCGCACAGGAGCTAGGCCTGGATCTACTCAAAACCGTCCACCATAGTGACACAGCATCCATCTCTGGTGGGTCTTCCCACAGCAGCCCCTCACACACATATGCACACACCAGGCAGAGCAAACACATTTCGACCGCCAGGCACGCCTGGGAGGCATTTCATCCAGCCATTTTCTACTGTAATTAATGTCTCCCTCATGCACTCAAGCCAAAAAAAAAGAAAACTCATGGAAATTAAATAAACAAGAAGGGCAGCGAGGACACACAACTCATTTCCCTTAATACCTCAATAAAAAACTCAGGGCCATTTTGATTGCAAACTCACATCGCTCTTAAAGCCTCATTGTGCGATTCGATTTTCAGCGAATGTGTTTCTTGAACTCGAGCCAAGTGTTTTAAAGTCGAGTAAAGCACCGACGTTAGACGCAACTCTTATTAACTCCAGCGTGCCCCAGTCGCAGCCTCGTCTGAATTTCACATTTCTTCTCCAAACTCATGAGACCAAAGTTGAAAATGTTGATCTGAGTTATCTGGCTTCTCCAGACAACCATCGTCAAAGTGGAGAGACGATGCAAATGGTCCCCTCCCCTGGTCTATTCAATTGGTAACTTTCCCTTCATTTAATAAACGAGCGGACCTAGCTGAGAGGCAAGGTTTAAGAGGTTGTTTCAAATTCCAGTTCGGCCATGGCCGAGAGCCTGTTTAATTTTTCCGTGATTTAGTTTAATAAGTTCCTAAATACTCTGCCTTCCCAATGCTTGCCTTACGGATCCAGGAATGGACAGAGGCTCAACGAAAGTAGCAAAGTATGAAGAGGCCGGCGGGGGAAATGGCTGCGGCATTAGTCAGCGACTTTATTTGACGCAGCTTAGACTTCTGCTTTTTAAAAGAAAGCTCAAAGTTATGTCCAGGTCGCTGCCGAGAAAATGAAACAAGAGGTGAAGAACCGGCGACTGTGTGCACTTTGACTTTTGATTTACTCTTATTACTCCTCCACCTCCCACCATTGACTCTTTCTGCCCTGTCCATCAGAGTTGACCTCTGACCTTTAGGAAGTCAAACGCACGTGTGTGTCGTCCCCTGTTAAAAATGGATCTCTTCCTTTTCTGGACTCCAACTTTTTGCTGTGTTTACGGGATCCGAGTGTTTACCCTGTAAAGAAAACTGACCTTGTTTATAAAAGGTGAGAAATCTGTGGATGTTAACACAACATTCAGGCCACCATGTTGAAAACAAGCCACTTACCTGCTTAGATGATCTCAAAAAGCCCGAGGATTCAGGCTTTCTGTTTTTCTCTTTATGCTTCAAATATGGACTTTTAAATATTATCCAAATTACTTTAAATGTAGTTTCTTATAGATGGTTATATATCAAGGGAAAACAGGATATGGATCAGAATTTTATATTTTCTGTGTTTTATCCACACAATGTGCAGATTCTACATGTAGGCTAAAACATGTGAGTATTAGAAGAAAAAAAAACCACTAAAATTATAATATAGCAAGAACAGAAAGGGACGAGAGTAAAAAAGTTCAAGAATGAAGTAGATTTCAAGAATAACGTCACAATAGTTTGAGAATAAAGTCATAATACTATGCCTTTATTCTTGTAATTCTGACATTTATTGTATTATTATGATGATTTTCTCATACGACTTCAGCTGCATATAATTTTATTCTCGTAATTTTATGACTTTATTGCTGTAATTTTAGTTGTTGTTTTTTTTAGCCCTAATATTCCGTTGTACAAATGCAAGATGAGCACATACCTGCAGCAGCAGCCTTTCGAAAGCCAGACAGGAATCCCAGCGGGCCAACCTGGGGTGTCGGAGCGTCTGGGCCGTGGCCAAACCCAGCTGAAGCACCCCGCAGTGACTCTCTAGCGCCTCCCAGCTGCTCCGGAACAACTTCACATAGGAACACAGCTGATCGGGGGTCACGCGACCTGAGAGGAGGGAGATGCAGGGTGAGATATTTGGTCCTAACAGAGCGGTGGATCAAATAAATATTAGCAAACGTAGTAATAAAAGTAGTAGTAAAAGCATTTTACAGGAAATGACAAAGTGATTGGACATCGTGATTTGTCAGATCATTATCATTATGATAATTATGATCATTATCTGATCATTACAATATGACATGAAATGAATAACGGTGTTAGCGAGTCAATGTTTGGAAGGTTTAGGATATCCTCAGTCGATAGCTGAGTATCCATTTACCTTAAAATTGCACAATTTGACACAATGGTAAATGGTAAATGGACTGAACTTATATAGCGCTTTTCCAGTCATTTTGACCACTCAAAGCGCTTTACACTAGAGTCACATTCACCCATTCACACACACATTCATACACCGATACGCAGACCGGTAGGCAACTTGGGGTTAAGTGCCTTGCCCAGAGGCACATCGACATATGGCAGGACGAAGCTGGAATCAAACCTACAACCTTCCGATTGCAAGATGACAACTCTGCCACACAACCACAGTCGCCCAACCACAATGAAAATAAATTGGCATAATGAAAACACATCAATTTTGAAACAAAAATAAATCTTGATTTTTCAAAACAGAGTTTGACGCTAAAATGAGGTGGTTTATCATCCATATTGAATTTGGTATATTTAACTGGTTTATTTCACAAAACCTCAAGGGGATGTGATCAACAACCTGATGTTACTACTGGTGAAAATGACAAAGATGACAACAGGAAGTGGTAGGAGGACGATGGCATGGCAAGTTTTCTTTGAAAATGATTTATCTGGGGAACAAACCTATTTATGTGGGATAATTACGCTCTGTTATTTAGTGGAAACACAAAATTCATGTTTTGTTCAGTATTAGCAAAATACTAACAATGTTTTCAATGGAAACACAGCTATTGATGCTTCTGAACAGAGCAGGGAACATGGCCTTGGAGCGCTGGCTGATTCGTGTTGTTTACTGGAAAATAATTGGGACATATCTTTTGATGTACATCTTCCACTGCAGATGTGTGCTGTCCGTAATCCATCAACAAAGCATTCTTTGTGCCCGGTAACCTTGACCGGCGGTTTTCCTTGACCGGAGGCTCCCAGCTGCAGAGCTACTGCCAAACACGTGATGCATCCACGTTTGTTTGGAGCCGTCCCCTCTAGATGTGCTACCTCTTTACAAAAGAAAAATAATTTTCTTAACCATCGCTGGTGTGCTTTTCTTGTGAAAACATTAAACTTATATCCAATAGAGGCCGATTCTCTTGAGGGCTTAAATTCATTTTGTGTTTCATGTTTTGTCTTACTGAGTAAAAGCTCCAGGGGTTTAAAACAGGCGAGTCATGAAGCAATATTCCTCACACTGAAAATACAAACCCTGTGTTACCATGAGTTACTGACTGTGCCTGACCACAATTAAGGAAATAGTGCGGGAACACTGATTGGAGCTCCTGAAATTCTGTCTGGGCTGTGACTAATATGTGTAAATGAGAGGCCTTTGCTGATTAATTCAAGATATGTAGGAGAAGAGACCAGACAGACAATGTTCAGGAACTGCTCTGCTGAATATTTCCAAATCCACAGCTATCTTCTTAGCCCCCTCTCCCTCCGCTCCTCCGGAAGGATCTGAGCAAAACTTAGCAACAACAGCATAAAGAGTCGAGTCCTAAAAGATTAGGGAGAACTGCATAAGCACATCCATTTGTGTTGATATTTTGAACTCGCACTAGTTGTGGGTGTATTTTGAGTTTGAATATGACCAACACTTATTTTTGCAAGGCTAAACATATGACCAAAAGTGAAACTGATGATAAGAAAGAGGCCAGCAACCTCTAATACCAAATATAATCTGCAGCGAGTTCAAGGCTTTTTTTGCTATAGTCAACGGCACAAGCACTCGTTTTCCTTAAGTGTTTTTTCTTTTTTTATTGCAACAAATAAATCTGTATGTTCTATTGGGATAGAAAAGTGCAAATTATTGTAAAGTGAAAGGAAAAGGATGCATGGTGTTGGATCTCTTTTTGATCATGTTTTAATTCTTATACTCATTGCAAGGACTTAATGTTATTTTTGTTGTGAAAGATGCTCTAACTTAACATCCTCCTTATGGTTAGAAGGAGCTGAATACCAATCCATGCCATACGCAATTATAAGAAGCCTCAAACAATAACTAGCAAGGAAGAGTAAACAACAGACAAACTGAGGAAATATCTAAACAGAAAAAAAACAGGTTCAGGTTTCTCTCTGAACTGAAAACATTTCTGAAGCCGAACCTTTGGTCCAGACCTAGTCGGAATACTGAAAAGCTCTTTTGTTAACATATCCAACCATAAAAATCCTGGCAGTAAAACTAAAGCTCCCCAAAAGCTTGACATGCCAACCATAATTCAAGACAGAACCAGGAAATATATTCAAAGCGAGTCCGGCCTTGAATGAGCACCTAAGAATGGTACAGAGCAGGCCAAATGTAATCAGGCTTTACAGTGAATGCACACAGTGAGTCTGAGGGAGAAAATGTAAGACATTAGGGAAACCAAAGAAAAGCAAATAGGCCAAGCAGACACACAAAGGGCCTGCTTTGCATTACACACTTACAGCATCCTGGCAGAGCCTCGACTCTTATCTGTCACTGAACTTCCCTCCAAACAGCTTTGTGATTCTTTCAGCATCTTTGTGCCAGATGAAAAAGGAATCTGAAGGAGATGATCTATCAGCTGAGCTCTTGTTCCAGATCAGGGTGTTTCTGCAGAAAGATGCCTGGCTGCTTTTAACGTTAAGTTGCAACAAAAAAAACGACAAAAAAGGTTTTCCAAAGTCTAATTGTAATTTATTATAGATGATATACATGCAAAGATGCAATTATATATATATTTCAATAAGTCCCTTACTGAAATATTGACTATATTGGAGGAATTCTCCTCTTCAGTCTAAAATATATTTTTAATATTTAAAGACTTCCTCCATAATCAACTCTGATCAAGTTCCCCGTCACTGATTAAGAGAAGTATGCCCACAGCATGATGCTGCCACCACCACGTTTCACTGTGGGTGGTGCATTCAGTGCGATTTGTAGCACTCTGCATGTAGGCCAAAACATTTTGGTCTCACCTAACAAATCTTCTTCTACATGTTTGCTGTGCCTCCTATATGGCAAATTGCAAAAGGTATTTCTTTCATCAATGGTTTTATTCTTGTCGCTCTTCCATAAAGACCAGATGTGTGTATGTTTTGTGTCAATAGATTCTCCCACCTGAGCAATGGATCTAAGCAGCCATTCCACAGTCATCATGAGACTTTTTTGTCGCTTTACTAATATCCATAGACTCCCAATTCAGGTTGATTGCCATGCCTCGGTGGCTTTGTAGTTGTCCAGAACTCTTCGTTTTGATGGCTGATGGACAGGATGATTAAAGCTTGGAATATTATTTTATTAACGTAACTCTTTTCTAAACTCCTCGACAAATACAAATCTCTCAGGCCTTCACCGAACAGCTGGATTTACACTGTGCTTGAACTGGATTTTATTTTAAGGCATCAAAGTAACATGGGTGGATGCAAATGCCTTATTCTTTCCAAACCATGTGCCATTTTCATCTGCTTCACAATCATGAGCTACTTTGTGGCGATCTATCGCATAAAATCCCTATAAAATATATCTAACTTGTGGTTGTAAAATGACTAAATGTGGTAATGGGACATGTGCAGCGTTGTAACTTATGACATCATGTGGTTCATAACTATCATATGCCAGGAGATTGGTCTCTGCACGGCAATTCTTGTTGCCCTTAAATGAAGATGGCTGAGAAACCTGAACCGTTGGGCCCATTTTATTGTCCTTTTGAGGGCATTTATAGAAAGTACAGACATAAAGCAAATTTCATTTTTATTCTTGTGCTAAAAACGGCTTGAGCGTTAGTCCATCGGAGCAGGATGTGCAGAGGTGGCAATTGAGACATGGCAATCACGATCAAAGTCTTCCACAGCACAAGTACAGCCAGCAACGATGATTTAGCTCTGTTACTGGAAGATGACTTACATTCTGGGTGCACGAGGTTGCAGAGGAGCTAAATGATCTCTGATGCGAGTTGCAGAGCTGAGTGGTGACCCGCCTCAGCAGCCAGGCAGCCTCATAAGTAATCCCGCAGGACTGACGGACGCAGGAAGTCTGAGGGAGTTATTTATGCGCTCCGAAAGGAGGAACATCCCGAAAACGTTGGGTTATGGGTGAATGTTGGGGCCTCTGCTCAGGACTCTGCACCACATTCAGGCACACACTGTACCACATCACTCAACAGCAACAACAGTTTTCATTGATATTTTCAACAGTTGGTTAAATTATTTACATTTTTAAAAAAATTACCTCAAATAATTTCTAAGAAAATATGTGATGAAGCTTATTTGGGATAAGTTAAGGAGTTATCTGTAACTCCTTAATTTATAGATTAGGAGTTACAAATAAGGTGAGAAGTTCAGTCAGATGAAAGGTACTCAGCTGCATCTCCACATCAAGAGGAGTTAGCATGCCTGCTGGTTGCCTCGCCCCTGGTGTACCAGGTCTGTCGCATCAGGAGGGGACTCAGGGTAAGACCCAGTGAGTGGAAAGTCTTGGCCTTTGTGCTTAAGCTGCGACCCGACTCCCGGACAAACGGAAGATAATGGATCGATGGACGAATACATCAGGATTCAGAAATTTCTTCTCAGAGTCTTTCAGGCAATACAGGTACCCTACTGGATCACCAGGCCTAGCTACATCACTTGTCGGAGGACTCGATACAAAAGACAATGCAGCAGCTGTATGAATCCATTCCAAACCCAAATCCCCCTGGTACCAAAGCCCGAGGGCATGCCCCGCCCTTCTGCCACGGGAGCAGCAGGGTGTCTGCACAACCACACTGTTATCCATTTAGTCTGGTGTAAACACAGGCAGATTAGCATAAACACAATTACAGATGATGAAATGTATCTATTAAAGTTCCATTTAAGAGCTAAAACACCCAAGACAAACACGTATTGTGCATGTTCTCACGCACACTAAGGGAATTTCATCATCCTATTACAATCCTATTACATCCTATGAGACCTTAAATGGGTCAACCTCAGGCTCTGAGAAATGGATTATTTTCTCTGTGTCTCTCTGGATGATCCTATTCTGCTGAAAAGCCAAACTGGATCCAAGGGTGTATGAACCCAATGAGAGCATACAAGTGCACAGGCAGAGTATTTTCTTTGTTTATCTGGAAAAAAACCAACAAGAGCGAGAATGAGCTCAGATATGAGTGGAAAAAAAGTCTTTAAGAGAACTGCAGGACACCAAGCAGTGATGTAAACAACACATGGAGTTACGATTAATTGTTGATCAATGTTTTATTGTATTAAAACTAGTTCCAGTTGATTAACAACACCAGCTTAGACATTCTTTTAGTATCAGCAGAGAGCGCCGTTGGTCACCTTTCAGTTAACAATGGCAGACCCATTCCAGAACAAGAAAGACAAACTCAGATGCAAAATTAACTATATGCAGTTCTGTTTTGAGATATAAACACGCAGAGCTCTTTAGGTTTCACCTTAACAGCGATGATTCTCCTGAGCTGCTTGTCGGAGGACTGTCAACTTCTCAATCAAAAACTAGTGATGTTCAAGGAAGGCAAAGATGTAATCACTGAACTGAAGGCAGGACAGTGCAGAAAACATGTCACATGGAGGAAAAAACAAAACAAGATCAACATTCAATAAGCAATGGTGATTTTGAGGCCAGTTAATGCACTTCATGAATCAATATTTGGTGGGATAAGCAGGAGGATTTCAGTGGGGTTCAGTGAAGAGTCCACCGCACTCTTCATTTTCTCCAGAGCTGTATTTGATGCTTTTCACCTTTTTTTTTTCTGTTACCAAAAAAATGCAAAAATTTCATGTAGGTTTTTTTTTTAATAAAGCATATGAACATTTTTACTCTTTATGTTATGGCAAGATTGTCAGCCCATTTGATACAAGAGAAAACTCAGGTTTTTAAGAAAATATCCAGTCGATCGACAACACCAATCAACTTCACATCCACTCGTTAATTGATAACTTGCGTCCTCAGCATCAAGTGAGCAGATTAGTTTTAGTTCTATGTGGTGCATTGGAGGAGATAATGATGGATTGAGAACTTGGCTGGTGCTGTTCTGCAGAAGGAAGACGGTGTGGGGGGTTCATCAGTAGGGGATCCGTGATGGTGTCCGCACCTCTGCCAGTTATGCATAAAGGTTCAGTGTGTGAGGGGCCTGACAGTGCCCCCTTCTCTCTGTATCTCTCTCAGTAAAGACATTAAATCAAAAGAATGTCAGTCAGCAGGCAGAGGCTGCTTTAATTTGCTTTCTTGTTCATACACTCCTGACTTTACTGTCACTCCTAAACTCTGCAGAGCATTTGTTTAAATAAATCGTTTCGAATTCTGCAAAATGTGCACTGCATCACAAAAGTGTGAAAAGACAGCACAGCGTGCCCATGCGAAAAACTTTACAGGCTGTGTTTGAGAGTGTGTGTGATCTTGTTATGAGACCTCCTTTACCTCGCAAATTACAGGGGCTCGAGGACCAACAAGATCCCTCCCTTTTTAAAAGCCCCCTTGTCTGCCAGATGTTAACCTGAATGTTAAGACCAGAGTGTGTGCATGTGAGCAAAGGATAGCCCAAAATCCAAGGTGCACGGAGCCACTTCACGTTTGCGTGCCTGCACATATTTTCATCCCTCGCTTCAGACCCCTTTGCTTCATTACCGAACAACAAAAGTTTTTTGAAAAAGCAGTGTGTGTGTGTGTGTGTGCGCGCGAGTGTGTCATGCAGCCAACATGTGGTTCAGATTTCCTCTGGGGCCACATGTGCAAAAACAGAGCAAGCCAGAAAAGCTGAATCTCAGTGGGATCCGCTGGAGTCCGGCTGCAAAAGGCTGAAATACAGGCGCTTGGTTCTCCTAAAGAGCAAATATCTAGATGCGTTGCTTTTAAGTGATGCAAATGTTTATGTTTTGTTTTTTCTGGGCATCGTTATTAGTTTGTTTTATAGTTCATAGGAAATCAGCCCCATATGTGGCTTTGTATGGGCCGATAGGATATTATAAAGCCATAACAACGTTTATTAAACAATCGGGGGTTTCAAACAAAGAGAAAAAACTGTTACAAGATTTATGTGCTTTCATTTTCAGCAGAACAGCAACAATCGGTCTTACTGATGCTGAAGTTGTATAATTAATGCATCAAACATGCTTCTTCTGACCGATTCCAATAAGAGATTTTCCAATTAATGATTCCTTTTTTGACCAATTCAGTTTTTTGGATATACTGTGGCATTTATGGCCACTTTTAGAGCCATAACTCGTGAAAGTGGAAAAATGTGCCGAAGGTTCTTTGATTGAGGCCGTTTTTAATCCGACAGAGAATCAAGAACATCTTTATTTAAGTACTAACTAATGTATTGTCTTTACCAAACCCCCCAAAAATGCATGAAAGTACAGAGTGTTAGTTTTAGTTTAGTTTTTCAGTCTATTTAGACATAAAGTAAACTAAAAACTAAACTCAAACTAACACAATGTACATTAATGCAGAAGAGAAACTATCATTTACCTATTTGCAATGTTTGTGTTCAAAAACCAAAAATGGCAGAAGTTATAGGTGTTGGTGGACTTTGAAGAGTTCTGACTACTATCTTAGTATAATTTTTTGTTCAGTGGCCATAATTCTCTTCTGTATTACTGCTATAACAATGTTGTCTATATTTTATATCTATGTAGCACAAACATCAACAACATTTTGAATCAGCTTCAAGTTCTAATTGAGCAGAAATGTTTTTGCTGTAAGTCCTTTCGATGAACACAAGCATAACAAGCTGACTCTAGCTGGGTAATTAGTCAGGCTATCTGCATGGGTAGTCAGCCAGTAGTTGGCTGCTTTGCAGATGTGCCGCTCATAGCTTGCAAAATGTCTTTTCAAAATAGAACCGTCATAGCCAGAGCGATGCCAAGTTCGCTTTAAGCTTCCACACTATGACTGTCCCTGTGTTTTTGTAACCAGAAAGAGTTTTTCAAAATCAGATGAGTTTATCTAGAGATGAAGGTTTAGTAGTTTTTTTTTAGTCAGCTGAATGGCAGTGTGGTAAAACAACAGAGGGTGGATCAGTACTTCTGTACTCTATGATCCACAGTCAGAAAAAAAAAATCTCCAGTCAGGCTAGAAATTTCTGTGTCTCATCGACGACCATAGGAAATGCTTCTTTAAAGGTGTAATGTTGGTTTTCAAAAAATTTGGTATGCTCATGCGCTTACTATGGATACAACAAATAAATCGACTTATAATTAGTTGTCAATTAATGATTTACGAGATTAAAATTAGCTAAAAACATCCACTCAGACCTTCTTTTTTGTGTTGTAGTTTGGCCTCCATTCAGCAGAGGGCTTGATGTCGTTAAGCAGAGCCAATTGATACAGAAAGAAAAAATTGTTTTTTTTTGTTTTATTCAGCATAAATTTTTACCCTTCAGGATATGGATAGACGGCTGGCTCTCTTGAAGCAAGAGAAAGGTTTCTCAGGATATGGCCACTTCTTAGTCAATCGTTAGTCAATCCATAAGATCAATCAACTTTAGATTAACTCATTAATGTATAACTTGCATCTCTAATGCTTACCCATACTCATCTTGATTGGCAGCTTCTCCTTGGTGGCCGCCTCCACCAGGTGGCGTCGGACTTCCATCAAAGCCTCTTTGTGTTTACTGGTGAGCATCGTCTCCCACAGCAATCTCGCAGAGGACGCCCTGAGAAGCAGACGAATTCAACACGAGAGCTTAAGGGCAAAGACGAGTCACTGGGTTTTGTTCATCTTGGACATGATCGAGAGCTAGTCTTGATGTCAGAAACAACTTTTTAAAAGTAGCAAACGGTAGATGCAAAATGTTATCATGTCGATTCAGCAGAAAACGCCTGTGTGCCACCATTCCTCAGGCCCGGACACTGCCTGAAGGCAAAAAGCTTGCAGACCAAGACACCCTCCATGGTGCCATCGCTGGGCACATCTCATCTACTCTTCTCATTATCCGCTAGGTTACAAAACAGCCCGATTCCCATCTCTGACTGCTAATGATGACAGGAACCATGTGTTGAGCTAATACCATCTGATGCCAGCAACAACAACAACAAAAAAATTTCTATCCACTTTATTCCGAGCCCTCAAGAGGCTTTGCGTGATATATGGAAGTGACTTCCGCCGCATGTAAACATTTGTTTACATGTTAGGAACTCGCTAACCAGCTTTCCACAGAAGTTTTAGGCTATAAAATATGTGGGAGCTGCAGCTATCACAACTTAAATGTGGCAATATTGTTATACCACTACCTACAGCTATTGCAGGGAGGGTTGGTGACTTGAAGAAATGGCCACAAATAACCCGCACTAGCATAGTTAGCTACTTCATTTACTCGGTTGCGGGTTTTCTTCCCCGCAACCGAAGGGAAGAAAACCCTTCCCTTCGGTTGGGAATCCACAATTCCTCACAGGAATTGTGGATTCCTGTGAGGAATCCACAATCCATTGTGTGGATTCCTCACAGGAATCCACACAATGTGTGGATTCCTCACAGGAATCCACACAATGAAACGAGCACACATAAAGCATTTTTGGTTCTCTGTTCAAGTTTAGAATTTTCAGCCAAATTCTTTTTCTGTGCTTATCAGTCGGTGGGCGATGAAAACTACCGCTTTTGTTTTGGGAGCATGTTGAAAGCACATCTGTTGCTGTCACAAACTAAACATGGTCTGGTTATTAAAGTACAGCCACGAACAGCACAACAGTTATTCGAGCTCCACAAGGGCAGACGCAAGTGGCAACGACTATAATGAATATAGATTAGCAAAAAAAAACCAAAAAAAAAAAAAAAACCTACGAATTACACTGAAATACGGTTACTTCCGGTGGGCCCCGGAAGTAAGACCCATAGTCATTTCCCCAGAAAGCCTCACAGAAATAAGGTGGATAAGGAATCAGAAAATTGTCACAGAAGAGCCTTATCATTGAATTTGTAGATCACAGGAATTGCTCTTCAAAGTGGCCGGTGTCAGACTTCCAGCACCAGATGCATTTCATATCCGAGTATGAATTTGTCTCTTTTCCAGCCTCATCTCTGTTAAGTACGCTCAGATAAGTCCTAGGCCAGTGTCCTTGCTTTTGACAACTAGGCAGAAGACATGCAGCAGTTACTGCTATGACCGTATACCGAGGTTTCAAGAAGTAAGGGTTTCACAAGTGCTCAACATTTTCAAAGTACTTTGAATGAGATCAGAAAGAAACAAAATGCTGATGCTTCACCTCCCTTTACTCTATGTACTGCCAATCAGCAGGTTGAGGGGGGAAAAAAAGTCTCAAACGTTTCTCTCTTACCTACAAAAAAAAACAAATTTAACACTTTGAAAGTCTTTCAGATGGAGAGAAACACAAAAGGAGCACTACCTATAACTTAAGGTGAGTAGGTGGTATTGATGTTGTTGAGGTGAGGGTATTAAAAGTTCCCTTCAGTGTAGAAGACAAACATCTACTACACAGAAAAAACTCATTGTTACAGCAGTTAAGGGCAGACAGTCAGACTAGTTGATTTTAGCACTAAAAACAAACTACAAGTGAAACTTCTCACTATCCAATATTACAGTTAAATCCAAAGTGATTGATTCGGAAACACTCATTCTATCAATACACAGATCGGCAAGCAACTTGTGATTGCCCAGAGGCACAGATACACAATGGCAGGTAATCGAACCCACGACTTTCACATTGCAAGAAAACGTCTCTTCCCATTGAGCTGCAGTCTCTACGTTACCAATAAAGGCGTTTCTATTAATCTTGATAAGGGTATTAAAAGTTTCTGCCATGCCATTTCTAGAAACTACTTACATAAAAGCTGTTAAATTATTATTGTTCTAAACTGATACACATTTTACTGTCTACTATTGTCAATTCCAATCCAAAACAAGCTTATTGATTGAATGGAAATTATATAAAAGCTAAATCTGCTGAGTGTATGAATGATATTAGGCTCGTTAGCAGTTGCCACTCTCCATGAAACTGGTGGTTCTAAGGTGTGGCGCTGCTTTAATACATTAAGAACATTGGTATTATAACATGACGTTCCATTAGTTGTGGATTAAACTTGAATTTCGCAACAAGTTGCCATTTGTGAAAACGGTTAAGATCGAATGTTTTTTCCGGTCTTGCGTTTGTTTGGACATTATTGTATTTACAACCAGCTGATCGTGCCGCACTTTTATGGATAAAAAGATGGCAGCAAGATTATTATTTGATTAAAATCTGCAGACATTTGTTATTGGCTAATGGAGCGCCCAATCCCAAATACGAAAGTACAATCTGTAAATTAATTGTAATATATACCTTTTAAGGGAATTATTCTTTATGTTAACTGAGTTAAACATTAAGTGAAATGTATCAGCGTCCTCATTAAAGACCAGAATAGAAAAATGTGAGGAGGACACTCAGAAAATTATTTTCCAAACTATTAAATTTAGTGTGGATTTATTTCCCAAAAATAAATAAATTCCAAATATGACACCACAAATCAATTGCTCTTATTTAATTGGTGTTAGTTCAAAACAGTCATATCACGTGAAGCATCTTTTTTTTTTATTTCGATATATATTTTCTGAACTAAAAGCGTATTGACTAAAGATTATGATACTGTGAGAACCTCACACTAACCTATGCCTACTAAATACATAAGCACTCATGCTTATTACTCCAACAATTTACCAAAAACTAAATAAAAGGAATGAGACAAGGGAGAAAAATGAAACCAAAGGACTAAGAAGGAGCGGAGGAAGACGGGGCATCGTTGACAAATCTACTGTTTTTCTTTTGCTTTCTTGTCTTTTTTTTTCTAAACTTTGTTTTTTTTGTCGTCCCCCTCGCTCCCCTTTCCTCTCGCCTTTTCTCCTTTCTAACTGCTGCCATGTGTTTAATATCAGATGTAATGTGTTCCAGACCTTGGGCAGGGGCTGGATGATGAGGAATGGGGCTCATGCTGGGACCCCCGCCATCTTCACACCAGAACTAGACACTGAGACTTGCAAACACAACCAGAGCCCACGAACAATCTAGTTTAGAGTAAAACGTGGAGGAAGCAAGAAAAGGGGACTTTGCAAATCAATGAGATGAATCCAGATTTCAATAAAACTTGACTTACTCGACAATAAATATGAGTTCGTAGACTAAAACTGTCGGTCAAAAAGTATGACAGAGGGATACAGGTTTGCCAAAACCTGTCTTAAGCTTTGAGTGAACCCCCCCACCCCAAACCCTAGATGATGGATTAGAAAATATGCTGATTACACAAATTAAGAGGTCCCACATGTTTGTCATTGCTGGAATACCAGCAGCGTAATCTGACCGGCACACGTCGGAGCGGCCCGCGAGCGTGTTTGTGTTTGCATGCGTATGCGTCTGTGTGTTATGTTTGCACACAATCCCGTGCGTTCCGTGTTTGCTCTTGAAAGTTAGCGGGGCTCTGACAAGTGTGGGGGAAGAAAAAAAAAAAAAAAGACATGGTTCTCATTTGCCACTCCGACTGTTCTACCCCCCACCCCTCCAGCTCCAACCCCTTTACGGTACCGGCATCGGTGTGGGTCGCCCATGCCTCCCCCCCTCCCACCTCTTCTGAGCCGACCGGCTGGATAAAGGTGGGCCGCCCAGGTTGACCGAGGTTGACATTGGCAGGGTGTGAGATGAACTCCTTAACCAGCCAAAAATCTTGTTGAGTAACAACTCTGCTACGTCCTATGAAGCGGGAATGAGTGAACTGGGAAGAGGGGGTGTGTGGGAATCTGCAAGCTCTGAATGCAGAGTTTCACTCCTTAGTGGAACATAACAGAATCGTTTCTGTAGGGGGCAATCTTGCTCTTAACTTGTGCGCGCCATGGTGAACGTTCCCCACCCCACACACACACACGCATCTCCCCTGCTCTGGTTTTGCAGAGCCAGGCTGAGGCGGGTGTGTTGGGAGACTTCACCATAATGAGCGCCGTAGCATTAAAGGTTGTTACGAATCCGATGCCAGACCTTAACAGACAACACAGCCCCCTGAATATGCCTCATATTGTATTTACAGTAGGTGATTATTGAAATGAGGAAATGGGGCGGGGGGGTAGTGAGTACTATTCCTGGCAGCGAATGATGCAGAAGGAAAGAATGCTTCAAGTGGTTCATTTTTTTTATTTTTCCTTTTAAGCTACTTTTGACTCAGGGTTATCCTTCATTTTTTAGCTCTTTTCATTACTTGCAAGAAACTGCATAGGAAATAAAGCAGCCACTGTGTTCTGGTGTGGATTTCTCCTAAAATGCAACTTCTACCCTTCCTCTGCTCCGTTTCTATATCAGGATAGACTATCCCCGATGTCGTTTATCAGGGGGAAAGCAATAATGTACGGAACAGTTTCAGCACCACAAATAAAAACGGACCATACTCAGCTGCAGTGAGAAAGTAGAAGCTATAGCAGAACAAAATCTATTGCAAATAACCTTAATAAAAACATCAGTTATGTACAGATTATGCTACATTTTCTTGCTAAAGTCTTAGACAATATATATGTTTTATTGGCTATGGTATAATCTCACACTGAAACAGTTGCTGAGGTTCTTTAAAGATGAACTTAGAAGGGTGTTTCATCTTTCTTATACTTTCCTAATCACTGTGACTGGGGACACGTCATCTGGTCTGTTACTTTATGGACATTAATGGTAAAATCAAAAAAAAAAAAAA